GTACTTACAATATCCTCAATCTTTACTTAAATCCTTAGTTAAATTTAAATTTAAGTAAAAACAGATAAAAAAATAAACTCCAGTCTTTATTTACCCAAACTTGAAGACTCAAATTAAGAGACACTCAAATTTTTACTAAAATTTGGGGTGATCAGATTTGAATTTTCTTTAAAAATTTAATGGCCGTATTCTATTATTCTTAAAATTTGAATTTACCTTCATTTAAATTTCGATTTTGTCCTCTTTTACCTTTGAGTTTATCTGTTTGAGTGATTTGTATCAAATCAATTTTTTTACTAAAATTTGAGTAAAAAATTAAAACAAAGCTGGAGATAAATTTACAACTCATTTGTTAAAAAAACTTTAGAGTCAAATTACACCTAAAAAAACTCAATCAAACTCAATGGGACTACAATAAAAAAAAATAATTCAATGGGGGTAAATTATGACCAAAAAAAAGTTCAAATATTTTAAAAGCGATTTCAAATAACATTATTTTTGACATAACCACTTATCAAATAACATTATTTTTGACATAAGCTCTTACCTCCCCCGTAAATTAATTCTTATTTCATTACGTTTTTTGATACCATATTAACAAATAATGTTTTCATATAGAAATCTTACCCCTTATTTGTTAGTAATTGAAACACAATGGAAAGCTAGGGATAGAAGGTTAATTAAGGCTCCATGGGGTTTTTGATGTTTGTAAAATCAATCTGATATTGGATGGTTGGAGGGACCTTTCTACCTCACCAACAGGAGACAGAGGAAGTCCAGGCGGGGCCGAGCTCTATTGGGAAGGATTTTAAAAGAGGAATTTTTTATTTTTTATGATTAGTATAAAAAAATTTATTCAATTTTTTTTAGTTTTATTTTTTTTTAAATTCATGTTTACCCATCCCAATAAAAATTTTATTTATTATTTTTTCAATGTATAATTTCAATATTTTCTAATTCTTTAAGTTTTATCTCTCGTTCATTTCAAAACTTTCACCTAAGTCTTTTGTTATATTTTTTTATTACTAGTATTAAATTTATTAAGGGGTCTATTTTAACGATTCAATCAATTTTTCTCTTTTTCCCTATTTTTTTTTAAGTTTCTCGTATCTGAATTGTTGTTTTTTAGTAACCACATATTTTTGACAATCTAATTTTTTTATATAAATCAATCAAATTCTCTCTATAAGAAAAAAAAACTTAATAAAAATTAAAATTATAAAACTTGATTTTATCCTTTCATATCATCTATCAAAAAAATAAAACAAAAAAAAAATAAGGGAATTGACACTATATTCTTTACAAAATAAAATTGAAAAAAGAGAAAGTGCGAGTATCAATTAATATACTAGGGTTGATTCGGTGACGTTAGTTGTGTGATTTAGAAAAGTGATCACAAGCAAAATAAAAGTTAGAATCTTTCGTTTTGTTTTTAAGATGAAAAAACAATTTAGCAGAGAGAGGGGGGGTTGATGTATTGACACGAGAGCAAGTCTGATCAAATCTACCCAAACAAAGAATCCAATTAATGGAAGAGAGAGACCTATCCGAAGTCCTTTTGTTGGTTGGAGAGACGAGAGAAATCTAACGTAAGTCCTTTCTTGTTGGTTGGAGTTGATAGTGTGGGGTTTGATCAGCTTTATTCCTCCGAAACTTGATACTCCGAAGGCCGAAGGGACCCCCAAATCGAAACTGACAAAACCTTGAACCAAATGAGTAAGCAAACACATGCATAAAGATTCGAATGGGACCCACTATGGTACGGTAAAGCACTTGATTGGATTGTAACAACCGCCTGATCGAACCACCACCCATTGGATGTGTTTGGATAACAGGATAAGGTAGATTAACACCGTTAAGAAAAGGTTAACAATACAGTGGAACTCACAAATGTTTTGTTTGGAAATACAATAATAAGGTAGGATATAAATTCCGAGTCCAAGCTCGACTTGATTGTTACAGTAACAATTAACCCTCTTACATGGCTGCAAATAAACCCACCTTCCCCTGGGTTTAAATTCCAATTGATAGGTTTTTTTATGTGTATTGACATGTTTATCCTTCTCCTTTGTTTCAAGCTATTTTTTGGGTTTGATCATTCTGTGAAGGTGACGGCGAAGGCCAATGAGAAGCTGCGTCAAGCCTTTTCTCTCTCTCTTTCTCTCTCCTAACTGGTACACTATTACGACAAAGGTCAAGAGTTTTTTTTTTTGGTGTTTGGTAAGATTTAAAAAAATATTTTTTAATTTTTTATATTTTTAAATTAAATATAAATACATATTTTATCATTAAATTTATATATAAAATTAATATATTCATAATATATGTATATATCAAAGGATATATAGATAAATAACATACATTTCAACATAAATAATCAACTTTTTATTAATTTTTCTTCCAATTTTTGAGAAATTAATTTTGATGAGTTAGAAGGAAAGTTTATTTATCCAATTTTTTATCCTTCATATTTTCCTGCTTTAATAAACACGATATTTTATCTATTCCTCTAATTTTTTATCTTTCTATTTTTCTATTGCACCGAACAAAGTATAAGATATATTGAACACCAACACAATCTCCACGAAGAAAAGACAATACTATAGTTACAACAACCTCGGTGGACAAACACTTTGTCAATTAAATAGAGTGTTATAACTCTTATATAAAGTAATCCCACAAACAGCAATCGGAAAAGATTCCACTCTTTCTTTAGTTTATGGAAACACCTAACAATTATATAATTTCGATAATATTGATGTGGTGTAATTATTTAATAAAAAAAATTATAAAATGAATAAAATAGGATTTACTTTCTATCCTAGAATTAATTATGTATTGTATGATTGAATGGTTATAGATTTTTATGGGTTCATTTACAGACTTATTTATTTATATATAGTTGAGTCCCGTTATGATAACAAAAATATATTTTTTTGTATCAATAAAGTTTTATATTTTTTTTACTTTTTAATTTTTTGAATTTGTGTGTTATATTAGCCCTTTAATTAGAAAATTTCTAAATATTCTTATATAATTTGAAATCAAATTAAAAAACTGTTAGAAATTTCATAAAACTAACAGTCAAGTTCAAAATTTGAAGTAAAATCTCTAAAGTTTTCTCTCTAAAATTAATCACTCAATTTCTCTAACTTCATTACGAAATGAATAGAATGTTTTTTAATGTTGTATACTTTTAACAGATGTCTAAATAAATTAAATGATATACTATGTTATTTCTTTTTTTATGTTGGATTGGATTGTCTTACGTTTGTTGCTTTTTAGTACAAAATAATCGTATGCAGATTTTAAAAGTATATATATATGGGGAGATAAATTTGGCAAAATTTCAGTCACACATCTCTCCTAATTTACTATATTTTTAAGAATATCCTCTTTTATTATCAAAAATATCATTGACATTCCTTTTAATTTATATTTAAACTTCTCTGACACCCTTTACCATTAAACTACCATTTCTAACAAAACAAATTCATCTAAAATATCAAAAATGCCCCTACATAAATCTCAAGTAATTTTTCTACATAAAATTTTCTTAAAATTTGAGACGATTAAAATTTATTTTTTTATATATCAAAATTTAAACCAATTAAAATACGATTGAAACTTAAATTTTATTTTTTTTAACGTATTAAAATTTATTTTGTAGGTATTAAAATTTGAACTAATTTGAACTCTACTCGAGTTTTTAGCGCCGATTAAAATTCGTTTTTGAATCTATTAAAATTTATATATTTTTTGCTTATTAAAATTTCGATTTATTAAAACTTGTGTCAATTAAAATTTATATTTTTTTATGTATTAAAATTTGTGCTGATCAAAATTCAATGCGAGTTGATTAAAATTTGATTTGAGTTCATTAAAAATAATTTTTAATTGGCTCAAATAGAATTTTAATTAGCCCAAATTTTAATAAAAATATAATTTTTAATCAGCTCAAATTTTGATATGTAAAAAAATAAATTTTAATTAGTTTAAATCAAATTTTACTCGGTCAGAATTTTAATACGTAAAAAAAATTAGAAAATAGAAGGGGTCTCATTGAAGATATATATTTATCTAGAGGAAGTGTAGATGAAGTTTGTCCTCATATATATCATGGATAATTTAATAAAATTATCTTATAGTTAATATTTTTAATCAGACAGAAGGCGTCACTAAAGACAGGAGGCGACACTAAAGATTCAAAAAAATAAAAAGGATGTAATTGAAGAAGATATGTATCATACAATCGAACTTGGCGGCAATAATATATCATTCGTCCCAAACAATAAAGAGCAAATAGCACTTCAGACCTGAAAAAATCTTCTTTTTCTTAATTTGTACTCTAAAAGATTAAAATTCTCATACTGTACCCACAATTTAACAATAATAGGGCAATTTGCTTCATTTTAAAACAATTGAGTACAATTTTATTTAAAACACTTAAAATTTTGTATTATGCAAATAATTTTGTATAGAAATAAGAAAATATGACCAATGCAATGAAAAAAACTCATCGAAAAAAGGAACAAACATACTTTTGGACTATATTACTGCCTTCTTTTTTTTTTAATCTAATTTAAGGTGCAATAAGAGAACTTTAATCATTTATCACGTACATTAAGAATTTACAATCTTTTAGGGTATAAAGTGTCATTCATCTAAAAATAAAATAATTATTATTTGTTGTCTCCACTTCCCGATATAAGAAGAACGAAGAAACAGAGCTCAAAGTCTCAAACTCAAAGCAGCCCATTAATTCACTCCCAGGGAATGCAGAAAAATGAAGAGCCATTCTCACCTGAGCCCTGAATCAAGAGCTCCGGCAAATAAGAGCAATGACCATGACCGGACCTGCCATCGGAAACATGTGGAAGTCGGCTAGATCTAATCCTAACCCACCATTCTCTCACTAAAACCTGTCATCTCCATTTTTTTCATCTCTTTTATCAGCGAAACTTTCAGATCAGTAAAGCACTGTTCTTCAAGCTCCATCAATGGCTATGGCGGACAGAAAAAAGGACATTCATGGGAAGTACGAGCTCGGCCGCCTCGTCGGCCATGGCAGCTTCGCAAAAGTCTACCATGCCAAAAACCTTCAAACGGGCGAAAGCGTGGCCATTAAAGTCGTATCGAAAGACAAGGTGATCAGAGTTGGCATGACGGAGCAAGTGAAACGAGAAATATCAGTCATGAAGAAAGTGAATCATCCAAACATCGTAAGGATATATGAAGTCATGGCCACCAAGTCCAAGATCTACATCGCCATGGAATATGCTCGCGGCGGTGAATTATTCACCAAAATCTCCAAAGGTCACTTGAGAGAAGACGTTGCTCGAAATTATTTCCGCCAACTAATCTCTGCGGTAGATTTTTGTCACAGTCGAGGAGTTTTTCACCGTGATTTGAAGCCGGAGAATCTCTTGTTAGACGAAGAGGGCAATCTGAAAGTGACAGATTTTGGATTATCAGCTTCGTCTGATGATTCTGATCAATCAAAGCAAGATAGGCTGTTTCACACAGCGTGTGGGACTCCGGCATATGTTGCGCCGGAAGTGATCGGAAATAGAGGGTATGAGGGTGCGAAGGCAGATCTATGGTCATGTGGGGTGATTCTCTTTGTTCTTCTTGCTGGGTATTTGCCATTTCAGGATGAGAACATCATGATCATGTATAGGAAGATTCACAAAGGCAAGTTCAAATGTCCGCCGTGGTTTTCGCCTGAGTCTCGCCGGATTCTAACCAGAATGCTCGACCCAAATCCCAGTACCCGAATCACAATCTCGAAGTTGGTCGAAACAGCATGGTTCAAGGAAGGGAATCCCAGAAATTCAAAGAAAATGAATGAAGAAGATGATAGCCCTCAGGTTGAAGGAAGAGAGGCGACGTCAGAATCGGAGACGTTGAATGCGTTTCATATCATTTCGTTGTCTAAAGGGTTTGATTTATCGCCATTGTTTGAGGAGAAGAGGAAGGAGAAAGAGGAGCTGAGGTTTGGAACGGCGAAGCCGGCGAGCAGTGTTATTTCACGGCTGGAGGAGGTGGCGAAGGCGGCGGAATTCATTGTGAAGAAGTGTGAGTCCAGGGTGAGGTTGGAGGGGATGGACTGTGGTAGGAAAGGCAAGTTGGCGGTTGAGGCGGAGATGTTTGAGATGGCACCGCCATTTATGGTGGTGGAAGTGAGGAAAGACGGCGGTGATACGCTTGAGTACAACCAGTTTTTCAGCAAGGAGCTCCGGCCGGCGCTACAGGATATTATATGGACTGCTGAGAACTCCATGGCTGCTTGAAAAAGCTTCATTCAGGATTTGGCTTTAGCCTTTCCTTTTGAATTAAGAATTAAACTTGCTTAATCTGATGTTAATTATTGTAGTAATCGGATTAATGGAGAAATAAATGCTCAACTAGATCAGTGGACTTTTTTTTTTTTTTTGGGTGTTAAAAGTTTAAGTATTAGCTTAAGGTATCAAAATATTATTTATTTTTTATTAATAAAGTTTTTTTTATTATTTTAAATAAATGATTTGAGATCTTTCAAATCAAAATTAACCGTGAGTCCGTGACGATCAATTTCTGGCACGATACTTCCATAGTACAATAGGCTTATGTTGAATGGGTTTGAAGCCATAGAGTTCGTCTAAACTGATGCAGCTTTCTTTGGCACTGAAAATGTGTAAAGGGCGAGTTTTTTTTTTATGTAAATACTAGGGTAATCGTATCTAAAGTAACGGTATAATATAAATTAATCGATTAATTTAAAAAAAATGAAAATTTTAGAGAGAGAGAGAGCGAAGAGTGAAGAGAGGAATATAAAATTCAATGTGAATAGTTTTTGAGAGAATGTTAGTAATCGTTAAATAAATCTATTTTTAATTATTAGATGAGTTTATTGAAATGTGTCTTATTTTATATTAAAGATAAGAGATCTGATGAATAAAACAAGAAGAGAGGGACTTAACTCTCTATGGAGTGGGATGGGAGGGCTTCATATGCCTTTTGAAAGATTCTTGCTTTGCATTTTTAGTTCTCAAATCTGACACCATTGTCATTAAAAGATAAGAAATATTGAACTAAATTTTCCTATTTTCATTTTGGAAAAAGGGGAATTGAAGTGCAAAATAATTTTACCTTACAAAATTATAGGGCCTGTTTGGTTTACGTTTCAAAAAATAGTATCCAAAAATAATTTTTAAAAATAGTTTTAAGAAAGTGATTTTTATATTTTTTGAGATAAAAAACTTGTTTGGTTAAATAATTTCAAAAAAAATTTTACAATAAATATATATACCAATTTACATATATATACTCATATCTGAACATTCAAAATTGTTCTCCTTTTTTTCAAAATTTTTAAAGAAAACTCTGAAAACAAGCTGCACTTATTTTTTGTTTCTTTGACTCAAATCTCATTTTTTTTCCCAAAATTTAGAGAACAAAAATACTAAACAAACAGATTTTAGGTATTTTCAAAATTTTGAAAACAAAAAACAGTTTTCGAAAACTAAACCAAACATTGCCATAATTTCTTATATCCCGAATCTTCCCCTTTTCCATTTTGAGAAATACGGAATTGAATTTTGAGGGAGGGAGACAGTCAGAGCTTACACGAAGTCATTTGGGCTTGACCCAGTTGTACCTAGCCCGAGTTTGGCTTTCTTGTAAATCTCATGGGCTTAGCCCAAACAACTTATGCCCTGGATCTGGGCCCATGTCACCTTTAGATAGTAGATTTCTGTCTATTCTTGTAAAAAAATATATATTCCACACAATCTATGAAGGTAGGCAGCTGATGGGCATATCATATGCCTATTTTAAAAATATTAGAGGTGTTAGTGGAGTCAACTTTGTAAAGTATGAATATGCTTAGACTAGACTTGACGTAGTTATGACGACATGTTGAATGGTACGTCGATCAAAGCTTACATATTTTTCAAGTTTAGATTGATACTAACAATCTAGTCGAGATTATATTCTTAAATAAACTGAAAAAAGGTTGCTTTCACTTTAATGTAATGTCTAAGAGAAAATTTGTGAACCATCGTAAGTGTACTATGACAGGGGCCTAGCAAGCAAACAAAAAGGGTCCATCCACGTTTTTTCCACTAGAATAAACAAATTTGACAAATTAACCCTTTGTGTGTATTAAATTTGTGCATCAAATCTTTGTATCAAATAATTTGTTAGTATCTTAATTACCATTGCTATTTATAATGAAATCTAATAGGTTCTCCCATTACAGGTCACAATTAGATTAATGTCCACACTTAACCGTCTCAACTACATCAATTAAAATATATACATAAGCCCATAAAAATAGATCACTTAATAATATTGGGTTTATATCATTAGACCATAAATTCAATCCGTTTTTCAGAAATTAAAAATTAACTATCAATTAATAGAAGTCTAATATAGGAAAATTTTCAATATTCTCCCACTTGGACAACATTAATTGTAGTGTATATATATATTTTGAAAAATGGCTCTTGAGCTAATCAAACAAAACTCAATGTGCCCACAATAAAAAATAATATGGTCCTAAGACAATATCTTAAATACAACTCGGTCTAATAAAATTACTATTTTCGAATCATGGCGGTCTTTACATCTTTTATTGACATAGGACCAATCCATGATTATAAAAAATAATAATTCTATTGACTTGGATCAACATGTGGTAGTGTAGCAAGAAAATAACATCTCAATATGTAATCTGATAAACATGTTATTTTCATTGTTAGTCCTCCAAATAATTTCTCTGTAACAACGTGCTTCAACAATAAGCTAGAGAAATTCATTGGCTTCAACAATAAGTTAGTATGTCTCCAAACTTAAAATCACAAGATTTTCTCAAATGGTGTAATCAGAGACATACTCAATTGACAAACACAGTCATACTTAAGATATACATCAAATCTTAAGATTTTGTATAAATTGACATGTCATAAATGTGTACACATATAACATAGCAAGAATATCATACTAACAATAAGGATAATCATCAAATATTTATTATTTATCAAATAGATGTATCTCAACCATAATGAGTATCAAATATCACATATGAAATTAAATCAATACTAAAGTTCTTAACACATAAAAAACTCCCCCTAGCCAAGTACGTCAAACCTCAAAATGTTCATGTTGTCAACATGTTTCTTAAAAGTTATATGTATCAGTCCCTTGGTCAAAGGATCAACAAACATTCAGTCTGTATCAATATGTTCAATCACAATGTTACCTTTTTCCACAAGATCCCTAATAAAAAGATATTTAATTTTTATACGTTTAGACCTACTATAATGTTTGTTGTTCTTTAAAAAGAACACAGCTGCATTATTATCATAATAAATTATTAGTGATCTAGAGATGAAATCAACAATCATAAGTCTTGAAATAAAATTCCTTAGCCATATAGCTTGTGTTGTAACTCCATAACAAACTACAAATTTAGCTTGCATAGTGGAAGAAGCTGTGAGAGTTTGTTTAACACTCTTTTATGATATTGCTCCTCCAACTAACATGAAAATATATCATGAAGTGGATTTTAAATCATCTTGACACCTAGCCAAATCTGAATTTGAGTAGTCAATCTTCTCAAGACTATCAACTCTTCTATAAACAAACATATAATTATTTATTCTTTGCAAGTATCTTATAACTTTTTTAGCTGCCACCAAATGATCTAATCTTGGTTTGAAAATATATCTGCCAAGAACACTAACTGCAAAAGCAATGTTAGGCCTGATACAGACCTGTGCATACATTAAACTGCCAACAACACTCACATAAGGTATATTCTTTATAAACTTCTCCTAAAGATCATTCTTGGGGCATTGACTTAGACTGAATTTATCACCTTTCATAACAAGTACATCCTCAAACTTACAATTATGTATATTAAATCTTTGTACAGGATCTATATATGACATTTGAGAAAATCCCAACAATCTATGATTCCTATTCTGATGAATCTGAATGCCTAACACAAAATATGCTTCCCTAAGAACTTTTATGTCAAATATTTTGCACAATAATTATTTAATCTCATAAATAAACTCAAATCATTATTTGTAAGCAAAATATCATCAACATAAAAAATAAGAAAAATAAATTTGCTCTTACTTATCTTAAGATATATGCATTAACTCATCTTGTTCTTAACAAAACCAAGAGAACTTAATATTTCATCAAATTTCAAGTACCGCTGACGAGAAGCCTGTTTGAGATCATAGATAGAATTCTTCAACTTGTATACTAAATGTTCTTTCTCAATCTCCTTAAAACCTTCAAATTGCATCGTATAAACTTCTTCACTAAGCTCACCATTTAAAAAAGTTGTCTCATATCCATCTGGTGAAATTTTAGATCAAAATGAGCCACTAATGCCATAATGGTCCTGAAAAAATCTTTAGTAGAAACAGGTGATAAAGTTTCATTAAAATCTTATTTTCTCTCTGGCTATACCTTTTTGCTACTAATCTAACCTTAAAATTTTCAATCTTACCTTTGGAGTCCATCTTAGTTTTTAAACAACCATTTGCAACCAATGAGTTTACATCCCTTATGAAGTTCTACAAGCTCTCACACTTCATTGTATTCCATAGAATACATCTTATCTTTCATGACACCTACCCATATGTCAGACTGAGGACAATTAATAGTATCATGGTATGTTACATGATCAACAATATCACAAATATCATAATCAGTTTCTTCAAGGTATACATAATATTCATCAGAAACAACATGTCTCTTTGTTCTTGTAGACCTTCTCAAGGAAATTTCAGTAGTAGGATTTAAAGGCTGAGGAGCCCCAATAGGAATAGAAGGTTCAATTGCAGGAACATGAGGATTAACAATTAAAGCAGAAAACTTAACAACAGGAGCATGTATAATATTTTATTGCACAACAGGTAAAGGAATAAAGACAAATTTATCTTGCTCATTCTCACTAATAGACTGAGAGCAACTAATATTAGCAACATCAAGCTCCAGAAATTTTTTTATTAAGGGCTCAACAATTTTAGTACTACGTGTAGACAATAGAATCGATATCCTTTAGAATGTTCTAAGTAGCCTATGAAGGAACAACGAGTAGTTCTAGGATTAATTTTTTTCTCGAAGGGTTATAGATATTGACTTCAGTAGGACAACCTCAGACTCGAAAATGGTTGATGTTTGATTTTCTATTGGTTTATAATTCAAAAGGTGTTTTTTAGAACAGATTTGATAGGAACTCTATTAAGAATGTATGAAGCCATTTTAATGACTTTTTTCCCAAAGATAA